TTACCACTAGATTGGGGTGTGGATCGAGGACCTCTGAGCTTTCGGGATTCACCACTCTCTTGAACAGTGAATCGAAGCTATAGGATCTTAACTTGGAGCTGCTTGACCTTGCACTGTTTTAAGTCAAGTCCATGTGTTTCAGCAATTACTGCCTGGTCCTGCATTTAAGCCCATGTCACCACTTTGAAATTCGGCAGATATCGAGAAGCGAGCATGCTGGGAAAATAAAGTTGATCCTAATAAACCCTCGTTGGACAGTTATAATTCATGTCCAACGAAGGTGCTGAAGCAAATGAATTGAGACTAAAATCATACTGTTATCCGCAAAAAATGTTCACTAATCCAAGGAATCGAGTTAATCGGCTAAAGAAACGACGGCAAGGGGCTAATGTACGTAATCTCTCGAAGCTGAAAGTTCGAGATATTTAAATTCCTAAACAAGGGAAGGGATTTCGTTAGAAGTAGGATTTTAGAAATTAGTTCCAATGATTACATTCTCAAAGAGATTAAACCTTATCATTGTTTATTGCTAACCCTAAAGCGAGAAAAGTTAAACTGATGACGCGAGAGTTGTTGTACCCAAACCCATAAACATCTCTAACACACATCATGTCACCAAACCTAAAACAGAACAATATTATCAAAACTAGCAGATATTTCCACCTTACACATTGCTTTATAAGCATTAATTTACCCCGCTTTCCTTTCAAAAATCAACTCCATTGACTACTTCCCTGAAATAAGAATAATCACAATTCGGTTCTAATAAGAAAATTATGGCACATGACACTTGTACGAGGTTTTTTAAATTAAGTCTACCCTAATTAAATCTTGCTAAAGTAGCTGACGAAGGAAAGCCGAATTTTTTGGTACATGACGTACATTTAAACCCAAAACAAGAAAGTTTATGTAAAATTGTAACTATACGAAGGAGCCATAGAGTTCAAAAATATTATTGCATGCAACTAACTTATATCAAAACGAGTAGGGAGAAATTTCCATAAAGATTTAAACTAAAGTACGTGTGGGTACATACAAACCTCTTCGTCCTTAATTAATTTTTCAAGCGTCCGTTGAGCAAGTTGCGCAAGTGCCGTCCATAAAACAATCGTGGAACTGAGCTTTACTTCTGATTCCGACAGGTTAGAGTTCTTTCCGATATCGGTCAACGATCGACAACGACGCAACATGGAAGTTTGTGCTGCTGACAAGGAAAATTCGGCATCGGGACGAATGACTGAAGCAATGGAGTCCTGTAACGAATAGTAGGTAGATTTTAAAGAAACTAGCGTTGCTGCACAATAACACAGCTGTTTAGGACATCAATTATACAAACTTGTGAATGGACCGAAACCGGATGGCTAGAGTCTAATGCATAGTGCTATTGAGACATGCGCTACACTAATAAAAGGTAATGCGAGTAAAAAGGCTAAACAGCTGAAAAACTTATGGCTGTTATCTACAGAAAACAATATTATGCCGATATATAAATAACGTACATGGATTTGAAGTGGGGCCTTGTGTTCATTTTTTGGCGACGACGAAGATGCACAGCTGCTAGAAGCAACCGGTGTCACTTTACATGTCTGCAAACGCATGAAAATTTATTTGGGCACATCAACTTACTTCCCGGTTTGTGTGACGATAACGGGATGGTACTGTAAGAAAACCCGGATTAAAATTTAGTGAAAACTAACCAAGTACTTTTTTACCACGGAGGTTCGATGAAGGCCGGGACATGTAGCGACGCCAGTGGGGTTGCGGTGCGGTGTGGTGTGGCGTCGGAATAGGGCGCAGACATGTTGGACCACCTGGCCTCAGCCAATCCCGTGTCTCGATGTGATCCAATGGCATGCGGGAAAGGAAGGCAGCCAACCAGAGAAGGACACGAATGAGATGCAGTATATAATGAGCGGCGTGGCCAGCGCGGTGGACTCGGATGAAAGGCGCCTGACGCGTGGCTCTGGCTTGTGATTGGTCAATAAAGCCTGGTCTGTGTCACTGGAATTCACCTATTAGGGCTCGGGTATTCTACAGTGGCGTCGGATCAGGGCGCAGACATATTAGACCACCTGGCCGCAGCCAATCCTGTGTCTCTCTGCGTTCCAATGGCATGCGAGAAAGATGAGCAGCCAACCAGATAATGACATGAATGAGGAGCAGTATATGGTGGGCGGCGTAGCCAGCCTTGTAGATTCGGGTGGATAGCGACCGACCTGTGTTTCTGGTTTTTGATTGGTCAATAAAGTCTGTTCTGTTGTACTTGTCTTCTTCATACTTGAGCTCGGCTGTTATTAACAAGAAATTTCCGAGTGTCTGCGAACGAATACGCAAAAAGGCTAATAATGGAATAAGTTTAAGTATAACATCATTTATACCGTTACTGATATTAGATTATCGAAAATTTTTCTTTTTAGGAGGATGTCGAAGAAGGCCGTTGATTATTTTATTTGACCTTCATGAAAATCTAATTCGGTTCATATATTAGGGCGTCTGAAATTCATTCTAAGAGGTTATTTATTGGTTTTCCAAATACGATTGATCAACTCGAAGAACCAGCAAATGCTGCAAGCTACCTGTGAAAAGTACATCAGTATGGCACCGACTATGTTCTAATATCGGCGATGGTACAAATGATAATATATTTAAGCCTATTTATTTATTAGCCATTGCGTATACTTTTACAGACAGTCGCAAATTCCTAGTGTAGAATACCCGAGCCCTAGTATGAAGAAGACCGGAATCTCAGAACTGGCATTATTGACTTATCACAAGCCAGAACCATACGTCAGGCGTAGTCCACCTGAGTCCACCAGACTCGCCACACCGCTTACTATATATCACTTCTCATACGTGTCTGTCTCTTTTTGGTTGCTAATCTTCCTCGCAAGCCACTGGAACCCAGGGACAGAGGATTGATGATGCCGGCGTACTCCAATATGTCAGCGCCATTATACTTTGTTGTTCTAGAGTTGCAGTGTGCGCTTCGGCCCCATAGTATGATCAAGAAGAGGGTAAGGCAAATGAAATCCTTTAATAAAAGCTGAAACAAGTAACAATCTGGTCACAAACTGGTCGGGCCTAAGAGGGAAAGCAGAGTCTTCATATATCCTTCCCTGGTTGTCCTGTTCTCCCGTTGGTACGTACCGCGCCGCTTCAATGGGGACGTGGAACTCATGAACGGATTGGCTCTTAGTCCCCGGTGCGTCATCCAACGCCTGCGTGACGCCACGCAGCCGGAAGTCGCGTCCCCGGTCACACGATGCCGTCACCACGCCGTGCTTATTACTTTCGACCAATGACTGATCGCCTAGATGGCGACTATCCGCCGTTCTGCTACAGTAGCGACGTAAGTGGGCGCAGACATATTGGACCACCCTGGCCTTAACCGGTCCTCTGTCTCTCTACGTTCCAATGGCATGTGAGAAATGCAGCTAACCAGAGACAGACACGCCTGAAAAATTGGTATATATCGAGCAGCGTAGCCAGCGTGTTGGACTTAGGTAGACAGTGCCGGACTTGTGACTGTGGCCTGTGATGGGTCAATGAAGCCAGTTCTGCGGTACCAGTCTTCTTCATATTAGGACTCGAGTATTCTACTGCGGAATGGCGTGTAGTCACCATCTTGGCGCTCAGTCATTGGTCGAGTGTAAACAGCATGGCTTGGTGGCGAGGTCACGTGACCGGTGGCGTGACTTCCAGTTGCGTGGTGTCACGCCCTCATTGAATGACGCACCGGGAGCTGAGAGCCAATCTGCTCATGAGTTTTCCGTCTCCACTCCAGCGCCGTGGAACGGACATACGGGAGAACAGGATGACCAGGGCAAGAATATATAAAGACAGTTTTCCCCTTTAGGAATGACCATATTCTGACTAATTCCAGTCTCCTTTAAAGAACTCCATTTTGAATTGCTCTCTTTATCATACTACGAGGCCGAAGCGTACTTTGTACATGTGGTTTTGTAGTTTATTGGTTTTAAGTAGCGATAGCTTTCAATAGTTACAAGTCATTTCTCGATGCGAAATTTTTTGTTTTCTGTGCAGTTTTTGGTACACCACTGCCGCAGGCATAATGTCAGCTCTAAGTACTCTCAGTTGGACGTCAAAATTTGTAAAATGTGTTAATGAAAATGAAGGTCAATATGCGTCCCACCATACCCAATTCCCAGTGTGATTTGGCATTTTGTAGTAATTTTTTCGCCTATTATTTTTTACCTTCACGACGCTCATTGTCGACATTCAGGTCTCCATACTTTAAGCCCATAATATCAATATCAGTATGTCAAAATTACATGTATTTCTTTGACTAGTCCTTCAGGGTGTGTTGTCTTTATATCACCTTTTGATAGCTAACGGTACCTTTTATATACGTTTTCGAGTTCTTTTAATTACCATCGTGTGATTCTTACTCTAATAGATGCCGGTGAAAATTCAGAATCAGATTTATGATATTATTGCCTATATTGCAAGCAGTAAATTTGATTAAAGTATATATTTATCCTAAATTACTTAACATCGCGTGGCACTGCTGCGAGGTGTCTTTTTTCTTCAAGTGCTCTTGAAGTAAACACCTTTCAACTCCGGAATTTTTCTTCATCCTAATCGTTCTGTTTAACTACTTTTTTGGAGTTACTACGTGTCTGGGCCTGAGTACACATCACTTCACTTTTCTTCCTAATAGTCAGGTTTTCGGTTGCACTCAGACTGTTTAAGTCATTCGTTCAAATGCATTGGCGAATTTGCTTCTACTTGGCGTCCAACGTCGCAGTCTTGCTTGTGCATGTTGTAATACATACCAGTGATATTTGACACAGTCCAAATTCTGTGAGCAGCGCGTGAGTCCCATGTCCCCTAATTAGACACTGGGCCGCCGTCGTTTCTAAAAGCCTGCCAGAATGATATTCTTGCCACGCCCCGCAAATCTGGCTTCATCGATGTGTTGAATGTTTGGCTATTCCTCATTCAACCCAAAATAACGATGAAAGAATTTCACATTTATTTCTGATCGAACAGATTGACAACTCGTTCTTCCGCACTTCCATACCGGCACATCCTGCCTTTGGACCTTCATCTTCGTAAAAGTTAGCTGCTAACCCTACCTTCTCCAGTATTACAGGTTTTCTCGACGGTAAGCTCTCATTCTATGTTAACTTTCTCATCGCTAGCTAATGCTTGTTCCTAATCAGTTCTTTCTAAAAATCATCATCAAGGTCTAGGAGGTCGCATGACCCCAGCTACATCCCTATAACGGGATGTCGTGAGTCACCTTAGGTGTTGTAAGTCTACAACCTTTGACATGACTTGCACGAATTTCGCGACAATAAATCCACCAGCACTTTAATGCTTTACAAACAGTAACTTTTTAATTTTAAACCTCATCATTTTAGTTGACAAAAAGTAAGCGCTAAAATAGTAATCACAAAATCTTTAACAAAATTTCCGAACGAAGCAAACCTTTGTAGAATGAAACGCGTAAATTTTGCTATCCCTCAAGCCGCGGTCATAAATCAAATGCAAATTTCAATTTTTATATTTCAATATCGACTAGAAACGCGTGTTATAGACCCGGTTCCTCGCATAGAGCCCCACCTACCTAAATCAATTCCTGGCAGTATGCCCAATTACCTTTGTAATGGGCAGCTACATGTTCCACGCCGAGGGTCGACATTTGTGGAGAAAAGCACTATTGATTGCGGGTAAACATGGCGATTTACAAGAGCCAAATCGGTTTTATTTTTCCGATAAGCTGGAAGCCTAAGCCAAATACTTCAATGTGGTAATTATTGAACGCATCTACTCGATTGGCTTATTTGTATGCGTTAGCTGAATTAGTTGAACCACAAAACCCATCTTATCTAGTTTTTCACAATAGTAAAACAACATAGGGATCCTGAAACTCGTTGCTGTGACCCATCGAGGTTTCAGAAGAAAGACCCAAGGAATTTTGACTGTCGAATAAATTTCCGGTCCAACATTAGGTCGATTGTGATTGGCACAAATACCAATCTGCTTAATGGACATATAGTCTCAAATCCCCTTCGAAAAAGCTTCATCCTGCTTCAAGCAACCAAGGCACCACATTGCAGTCATGTTAAAACGAACGAAGAAATAACGTACCGGAGGTATCCACAATCCTGCGTTACTCTGTAAGTTAAGGGATAACGGTTAGGAGGGTCAGCCGCACTCGAGGCACGTGGCATAGTGAAGAGATCGACCTTGGACTCCCCCACTGTGTGGAAGCTGAAGTGCCTATAAGCACTTTGTACCACACGAATTCCGTGAAAAAGTATATATGAACAGTATTGACGCAAAGGTAATGCCTTTTACTCAGTTGTGCAGTGCTACATACACAGTAAACTTTGATGCGCTGAGAAGCGCATTTGTTGGGAGGGCGGGTAGGGGCTCACTGGCGACGTGCTTTTAAGCGGAAATACACCTGTCTACATCCAGTGGAGAATAGGGGTGCGCTGTGCGCGTAGGTATAAAATAAGTTTCCGTGAAAAAAAGAATGATTTTTGGACGTGTAATAAGGGGTGGATTTGGTCAAATAGAGGTGGCAGCTGAGAGGAGAATTGAACGAAGCGAGAAAGTGTCACCGCTGTCGAAGGCCGTCAAAGCTGTCAGTTCCCCCAAGGGTTTAGTGCTCGACGACTTCATGAACTCCACCACTGCGTGCCGAAAGGCTGATATGTTTTGGGTAAACCTACAAGGACAAATACCTTAAAACATGGCTTCGTGCCCAGTTCCGGGCCCCCACTTCGGTAATATTTACTATAAACTTCGATTAGACTAAACTTGCACACACTACTTCCTGACGGTTGAAATTGCACAAACATCGTGAAACGCACTGAGCACTGCACCTTGCAGGCAGTGATTAAGCCCGAAAGGCACTTTCATGCATTGTGTCCTTCATATAGGGCCATTTCAAATTATATCCAAGCGAGACAGTTGCTACATGACATAATCCTAGTAACTCTTTGGCTTGCGCAACTACAAGCCTACCAATTCGCTTTCTGTATCGGGATCGTGAACAAGCCTTATAGATTGCTGCAAGCAGAACCCAAACATTACTTGTCGCGATTTTTTGCAAAAAGGTTGTTTTCCACGTCTTCCATGAGTTTTCTGAAAAGGCCCTCGACGTCGGAGCGTTGATGGGGATTGACTGCATTTATTACGGCGCTTTGCAAATTCGAGAAGTACTAGAAAATAAACAAAATGAATCGGTTTTTTACTGATTCATACACTTTTCACTACCAATGTGCATGAAAATAATCAAAACAATGAAACAAACAAAAACTTGGAATATGTACCTCTTGATTCAAGAGAATGAGGGCTAGTAGGGGTCTCGATATGCTCCACTGGTTTTTGCACTCTTCATTCATAAAAGTGGCTAAGAATGTCACCATTAGCTGTCGTGAAGTGACAGTGAATTCACTGAGGGTCGTGACAAAGCCGGCTGGTGGCTGGAGGAAATTTTGTCGCAAATTGGCATTACCAGCCTCCTCACGGTCTGACCAGATGGCGAGCGCGGAACAACAGCCTCTTGACCGCTTGTTTGGCTGTCCGGCAAAGAGAGCGGTCAGTCGATGACGGGCAGCCAGGGCAATCTCGGATGTTGGAGCACCTGAAGGGGGATTGGGGACGAAGAGAGGGTACTCGTTGCCATGGTTGAGAGAAACTCCGTTGATGCCGTCCTGTGGCATTGAAGTGAGCTTGTAGATGTGGGTCAGCATGTAGTCCAGACAGGAACATGCACTCCATGCTACGGAGGTGTCTGCAAAAGCAATACACGCTTGGCATATTCGGTGAAATCGCGCGATCAATAACCAGGATCATCCACCTTCCAGTTAAACATTTCCCAATTCGTTTAAAGTTATTATTGGAGCAGAACAAAATAACATGCCACTGATGCTACCAAAAACGGTGATTGGAGGCAGCTTGGTAAAAGAAAAGTCCCATTAGCAGATTCTGATGAAGATAGAAAACGATTTACGATGAGCCAGATGCACTTCTATCAATGCTTTTAACATGGGACGCCAACTGCTGGTGATTTTCGCCTACCGATGACGATTGAACAAAGGAATACTCTATCTAGATACATTTAACATCAAATGCATCCAAATGGAGATATTAGGTGCAGGCAAACATGAAAGGTCATAAAACTATTAGGTGTTAAGCTCCGTGGTTAGCTTCATGTGGTCAGCATCAAGGAAAATTTAAATTTTTGAAAAATGAAATTTGAGGAAAAAATTAAGTAGTTCAGAAAATAACGAAACACTGTTTTAATCAACGGAACAAAACTTACCAAGAGAGTCAACTCCTATCACAATGGCACTGTAGAACTGACGAATAATTGAGGGTTCTAGTGAACTTAGCAACACCATGTGGTTTTGAGTAAGACACTCCAACAGGGCGAAATAAGCTTTGCTCAGTTTCGTGAAGCTCTACAAATTCAAGAGTGAGAGATAAGACTTCAAAAATTGACGCAAAGCTTTCTTCGAACACTCTAACGTCAATTACAACGGCCCGGTAGGGGATGAATGTTGTGTCACGTTGAATAGAAATGCATCGGACGGTTCCAGACTTCAATCTGACTACGACATAAACACTAGAGCCGTTACGATTGGTAAGGACGCCAGCCATGTTCAAAGATGAAAAGGACGGATATGGCGTGGTTTCCTAACGTCACTGACCAAAAGGAAACACTAAAACCCTCGCAACAAGGCTCAGTTAACAGGCTTACATTACAGCGTCAAGTTACTTTTACATAGTTGTATTTTACTTGCACTAAACTAGCAGAGGGTCCATATACAATGAATGCCATACGCAGAGATTCATACCCTTAATTCTTCCTCCGTGACACACATGAGCATTTCTGTGCTCATTTTTACAGTTTTCTCGAATGAATCATCACCAACCAATCCGAAGATGGCGAGATTGGCGAATTTCCCACTGAGAGTAATTCGGAGAGCGTTTAGGTACCGTGTAAGTGGTTTCACTTTGTGTGAATACAAATTTTCCTTCTCCACCTGGCCAAAGAACGAAGTCAGTTGGGAGCCTGCAAGAAAATTAGAAACGTAATTTATGTTAATGGTGAATATCAATAAAAGATTACCGATAAAATGATGAATGAGGTGATTTACCAAATCCGAGTAGAATTTTTGTCATTTCAGCCAACAGCAAGTAACCTATCGGCAGGGTCCCCTCGAATTTGAGTCGATCGTTTCGGTTATGTACAACCTCAGCAAGAAGTTTGAGTACTGGGCAAGTGACAAGGGGATCAAAATGCCACAACTCCATGGCACGGCCGAAAAGAGTGAACAGGGATGGATAAAACCAATCTAGGAAGAGTTTGAAAGAGGCCATCGTGTTCAGGCTGAAGGCCACGCCAGCCAAATCACGCGCCAACCCAATCACACTGCTTCGAGCGTCCTCCGGAGACATTGGGCAACTCTCTAAAATATGAGGTATGACGTGCAAGTAACATTGAAAATACTCTACTATCGCGAACACTTGATAAATGTTCTGAAAGACCGAAGAACGCAAGTGGTAAGTAAAGTGGTCTACCCTTGTAAAATAAAGGTAGAAATACGCACATAGGTTTCAGTTCTGACATATGGTCCCATATAACAGATGATCTCAAAGGGAAAATCGAAGGACGGTTTATCATAAAAGTTAGAAGCTTAAACTAAACTACCTGACAAGAACACTTATTGGATTCATCAAAATTTACAGCGTCAGGATAGGTCTATGAAACGTAACTGTGACTGAGGTGAATTTCGCATAGCAAATCAATTACAGCAAATACCGAAAACCGCGCATAAAAGGCGGAAATGCAATGGCAGCACAACAGCGTTCAGTAATCATTCGCCGTTTAATGCATCATAAATGCAAACGGACGATGGAATGGCGTTTTTGTACCTAGACATTCATTGTAACCTGAAGACTTTACTTGACTATCAACAGTTACGCTGAAATAAGTAGCTATTTCGAAGTGTTGCTGTAGTTTTAGTCCACGAAATACACACATAGTTATTTACGCCATGTAACCAATAGTGCGGAGCCCTATGAATACTTCGCACTACCCTTCACGAAGAGGAAATGCCTCTGGCAGCAGAACGGATCTAATGCTATATAACTTCTTATTGTAAACGAGCAGTTCGTTTGTCAATGAGCAAAAAAAACGAACCGGAAAGGAGGAGGTTCGAAATCAGAGTGTTGGCCACTTGGGTTAGGGGCATTAGGAAGTCGAGGAAGGGTCTGTTGTCGTCAGCACCGGAGCCGGACAAAGTAACGAGCATCAAGCGCGATAAGTAGGCGTAAAATTCAGTACGATAGCGGGAGAGCGACAATGATGAGGACGTGGGAGTAGTTGAAACAGATAAAAAGCGGAAATTCGCCGGCTGTAAAGCGAAAAGCACACGCAAATTATTTTATAGAAGAAGTGTGCATATATCACAAAATCAGGTGAAACTAAAAAGTTTGTTTGATGGCCACAGAAAAGGCAGAGACACATGAGTCTTGCGTGCATAAAATTGAAAAATGGATTAGATTCTGTGAGGACACAAAAGTGGGAAAAGAGTGGAGACATTATACATTGACTGCAGTAGGCCGGTTTTATTTCCAAGCGATGGCACCCTGCAAATTAAAGGAGTAAAGCTCCTTCAGCGACATAGAATCGAATAATGGAAAATTTATGGAATGCAAAGCAGCATTGTTTGGATAAAAAGCACGAAAAAGCATTGGTGCTCACAATTCGCGACACGTTTTAGCACAAAATTGGTGCCTAAATGCAGACAATGAATGTTCATATGAAAAGCAATTAAATTCGGTCAGTATGACAAAGGAAGGCATAATAAAATGAAATCAGTGTACCGTATGGTTCGCCAACATGAATTTGATGTCATCCAATTGCAGGAGCTTTCGCATTGAACTAAAACTGGAGGCGAGCTCACCCAGAAGATTTAGGGTGGGTTCGAGAACAGCTTCTTGATTGCTCCAGTAGCGGAGGTTCAAAAGAATCTTGGCTGCGAACAGTTGTAAAATTGTTTGCTCATCGGAAATGCCAACTAGTTCAGATAACGACTGGTACATCTAAATTGAAATGTTTAAAACATGTCTTAATTACTTAATTATTTTGGTAACAACGTTGAAACAAAAACCCCAAGCTACTAAAAAATTTTAACAGACAAAAAAATTTTTTAATGCGCTGAAAGGAGTTTCAACAAAATCCAACAAACATGCACATCGCGTCTACAGAGCATTTGCCTGATAAGCACCCACCTTGATTCACTAGGGCTACAGCATCATCTGGAATGTTATTCACCCAGAAGAAGCCACAAATCAATGCAGTATGGGTCAATAGACCTTAAGTGAAAACCGCTAGCGCATGTGGACTCGCCTCAGGCGAGCGGTTGCAAGAAAACCCACTTTAGAGGCACGACTAATGTTCTCTCCCACGTAGATGTGTCGAAATCGTTCAAGAAAGGTGATAATAGCAAGTTCCAGACGGATCGTAGCTCCAGAAGATAGTTGGAAAAGCAGACTGGCCACATCGACGTCAGTGGACTGCTGGTTTTGTTGCAGTAACTGGAGTAGTAGCTGCAGACGGGCATCTCCGAATTGGAGGAGACGAAGAACTCGAGCAACCAATTCCCCGTCCAAGCGATCAGCATCCACCGTACCACCGGAGGACGACGTCGAACGACCCTTTATCAGAGCACCTAGAAATCAAACGCCTTCCATTGACCTTTCTACATGCGATTCAGATGTTGAAAGTGAATTTGGGGTTAAACATTAGGACCGTTATTTTTAAAGACGTTTTGAGGGGAGAGTCTGGGGTTAACATTTAGGTGCTGCAACCTTGCGACGTAAAAAAATTTTCCAAAACAGCTACCATCCTTTTAGCGACCTTCGCAGGCTATTGAAAACAGTGTTTTATGTCGAATTCTTCGATTGACACGACTTCTCATCTTGCAGTTAGATTCCTCTAAAGTATCCGTTCGTACAGCACCACCCGAATACCCACTGTGAAGTGTTACTTTTCGAGTAAGACACGGTTATTTACTACGTGCATGAAATAGCCACCAATGCGTCACAACTAGCGTATTCACGTTAATTGAAGGAAACTGAGGTTATTAGTCTTAGTAGCACACGAGGCACGCGTTGATAAAATAAATGGCATTGAGCACATCTAATGAACCACGCACTAACCAAGCAGAAAAAAATTGGCAAAGCAACGCACATAAAACCAAGACCTCTTACCGATCATATACACGAGCCAGGCAAGGCGATTTTCCTCTAACCGAATGTCCCTTATCTGTTCGATTGCAACTGGCACTGTGGTGGAAATAAGTGCTGTCGGATTAGTAGAAACCAGCTGCTGGAGTTTCGACTGCAGTAGATTAAATGACTGGTCAAAGAGTTGCACGATGAGCTCGCACGTGTTTGCGTAATCACAACGACCAATAATTGAAAACTAGTAGAGAAGAGAATGATAGTGAAAATATCAGAAGACAAAGCGAAAACCAATAGGCCTCAAAACAGATTCCTCCTGCTTTTCTGCGTTTCAAATTAACGATTTTTTCAGACCATCACAATACATAACTATATAGCATGGTAGATTAAGACCTATCCCTACTTAAAAACTGTTTGGGAAAAAGTGCTACCTGATCCAGCTGCTGTGTGAGAGTCATGACATCGTCGAGTGGACATGAGTATTCGTCCGCATCGAATTCCTCACTCATAGGCTCGGTTCCCTTTCCAGCGCCGTTAGCGTTGGCGGCCTTTTTGCTCGCCCGAAAAGACTTGATCTTTGAGACAGACTCCATACAGCGAGGCACGCCGGCGAGGCGAGACTCAACGAAGGCCCGTGCAACTTGGGGCGCGTAGGTGTCGATTAGGTAGGGTTCGGAAGTGCGTACGTAGGGCACACTGGCCACCAAGCGCTGCCACAATACCAGGAGGTAGTGAAGACTGTTGCAACTACCGAAACCCGACTCCTCTGAACAGTTCTGTAAATGGCGGGCGATTTCAAGCTTTACATGACACCAACACAACAAGTAAAATTGACATCCTAAGTGGATGTCGGCCTTGAAGCCCAAAAAAATTTGCGTTTGGCGGTTTTTTTTCCTTAAACAGTGATTTAGTTTATAGTTACAACATTATTAGCCACACAAATATTTTTTAATTTATCAGTATTTTGTGATAAGGACTCGAATTAGGTACCCTTTTCCATAGAGAACAGCTCTAAACTTCCACGCAATCACATTAGCGGTTTTGAATATTATGGAGGTAAAATTCATCAACTTACATAGAGGCATTGGGTGGTGAAGTCAGTAACAAGTTTTATAAACTCAGGATAACCTGGGGTTTGTAGGAATTCACTGAGCTGGAAGGTGGCTTTCATACGAGAAAGAAGGCAACAGAATTCATGATAGGTGGATGGGTCGCATAGGAGGCTGTCACGACGACGCAGAACCTCCAAACAACCCGAGACCAAAGGCGTCAGAAAAGTTTGACGCTCAACATTTGTAAACAGCGTTCTACGGATACTGGCTATCTGGACCAGACAGGATAGCGTCTAAGTGAAAGGAGACACATTAAAAGACAATCTGCAACAACCGGCGACTTCCCATTAAGGTTTAAAAGCAATGCGCACAGGGTAAAATTTAATCCAGGACTTGCATGCATTTACTGCTAAAAAATAGATCTTTACACGATAGCAATACAACTTGACCCAATTGACTGCACAAAAAAAGTAGCAGATGGAGAAGCAAAGGAACAATAAATGCGAGCACTTCTGCTAGTTGAGCGAAAAGGTGTTTGTCCGACCGCCACTTGACTACCATCAAATGGAACTAGGTATGGGAGGGTTTCGGGGGTGCCGTAGGACTTGAAAAGATATAGTGGCAAGTACAGAAATTGTAATTTGCATCGCATGTTTCACTTTACTGTTATGGGCAGCTGAGAATGAAAGCATCATATCAGCAAAAGGGAGGATAGGATGCAATTAGTTTAACAGCTCACGCAACTCAAATTCTGAAAAAAAATTGCAAAATCCTTAAAATTGGTTGACAATCTCGCTCTAGCAGCTCTCTAATCTGAAAACCAAGGCGCCTAACACTAGTTACTACACACAAAACCTACAAGGGGACGGAGCTGTGGGGATGATGCCGCCTGTGGGAGGCCAGCAAACAGACGGAAAAAGAGGTCGATGTTGGCGACATCGAGGAAGACAGGTCGCCATGCAGTCGGAAGTTGGACAGTAGCCATATCATCGGCACCAGCGCCTGAACTATGATCTCCGCCACAACCAATGGAAGTGCCAACAAAGTCGTAGTTTAGGCAGGAGAGAACCAACTCCAGGCTGTGTTGAACTACTTGGAGCTGTTTGGAAAAGAAAACCAAAATGAGTAGAGATTTCACTGATACGCGTGTTTAAAAACCCAATCAACTATTTGACCTACATTGCATAGTTATTATAAAGAGTTGTCATGTGGTCTGAAGATGATGTGCTAGAAATGAAAAACACCCGAAGAGTGTTCCAGGAGTAATAATGGAAAAACATGAAACGGTGAAATACATGATTGAGCTAGCAAACAAGTAAACAAGATTCGTTTGAAAGGTGCCAAGGTACTTAAGAACTTGAGTCATACTTCTGAGATGTTAGGCAATGAAAGGCACATTCATTAAAAGGAGAAAACTGCTTATTTTTGGATCATTGAAATACGCTCATAATATTGTGTGACAACTAATTTGGAGGCGTGGGTATACTTAAACTTATCTATTTTTTGCACATTCCAAAGCCAGAACACCTCACAGATCACCTGATTTCAATTCTAGATGAGGTTTCACATACAAGGCCTCGAGGAACCACAAATTCAAGACAAGGAGCAATCGCATCAAAAAGAAGACATCATTCACAGAGTCACTTTTTAAAGCGCAGCGAAAATACATTGTGAAAAGTGGATGCGCAAAACTACTTTCACGAAAGAAAATACACTCAAACAAATGAAGTAGGAAAAGTGTAAAAAATTGCCTTACTTGACTTGAGTTGGTCGTGGTTAGAGTTTTTAAATTGGCGTCTGTTTGTCGCAGAAGATCGAGACCAAGTTGGAAGATAGAAAAAAGAAGAGTATCTCGGAAAGAGATAGAGAGCTTCCGTAAAAAGAATACGGCACGGGTCAAGTCCGTCTATGAAGGAGAAACAGAGAAATCGGAACTAGCATCACAGGGCTAGGAAAACGGGTGATGAATCCAGACCAAGTGGTGTAGCCTACTACACCCAGCGACTACACTGGTGGCTGTTGCTGCAACCTCTGTAGCGATAAATGCATACAATAAAAACGATTTGTTCAATATTACCGCAATGTTTGGGAAATTACCGACACTAATTGACCCAATTCGTTAATTGGCTCTTAAACACCTAGTTTAAAGTTGTAAATGCCAAAGGGAATAGGTTTCACGCGTGTACTCCTTACTTTTGCGCCCCTCACATTAACGCTTTTGAATACCAGAATAAATAAACGTCATCGAGAAGCGATAAACATTGAGAGAGAAGACACATGAATACACATATTTACGGTGTTGCAGCTTGTTCATCGGGAATTAAATGAACTTGTGTAGACCACTTGTGGCTTCTGACTGATTTGATAAAATATGATTGATGGGTGATTTGCAAAACTCTACTTTTGGCCAATGCAATAAATGGGTGGGGGAAAGGCCATCTGCAAGTTAAGTTGTTAATGTCTATTTTATGTGTTTGTTAATAGATTTTGGCGAGCATATGTGTGTGAATTTCAATTTGCTGACGTTGACTGGTAAAACTAAATGAATAGACACTAGTATAAAATTACTAGAACTAAGGAGGTACTCATTAATAAGACTGAGGAATAAATGGATCGAGCTACTTACGTCCATCGTTTGGCAGATTTCACTAACAAGACGCGATAGCAACTGCACGCCAATCAAGACAGCACTGATTTGACCAGACTAAATATAAGAATGAAAATGGTTTGTACCATTAGCTCCTCCAACAACACTATCAAAGAAAAATCGGGGGTTAAACCACTAAGATTGTAAGATGGTAAGGAAATTCCATGCTAACACTCACCAGCTCTTAATATGAATGGTTTAACCTGGAATAATCTAACCATTCAATTTTCCAAAAAAAAAACTTGCTTGAATGGAGAGCTAAAATATTGACTTTAGTCGGATCAGCGTATTCTTGAGTAAATTATATTAACCTCTCCTATGAAGGATTCAGGAGTGATTCTACCACTGCCCGTTTCCAGGTCAGATGTTCCAATGCAACTTCCGTCAATTGTCATCTTGCTTGAGTTAAAAAGGGTAGAATGAGACGGCAAAGCTAGCTATACCTCGCCTACCATAACTGCTCGAGCAGGAATTTGCAGCGAGGTCCATGAGTTAACACCTACAGAGATTACCAGGCAACAATCATCAGAGCAATAGAATTCTCACGTCCTCTCTATTACCATGGCTCTCTACTCCTGCATATTCCAGTGTGTGCTGACTAAATGCGACATTCTATTGGCTCAATAAAATAATCGAGCATCCATTGCTTTTAGCCTTTCCATCCTTATCGAGTAACATCGTGCTTGATCTAGCCACAGCTGTCTCGGTGTGGGTACGAATCCCACATAGAGCTCCATTAACCTCATCCAATATGTATTCAGCATTTCACATCTATTAAGTGAAATGTAGAACAAAAACCAAAGCATCATTACAGTTGTATGAGCGCTTCTAACCTGAATAAAATTTTTAGCCGATTCGAATATATCTCTGAAAGGCCAATCGGGACCATTTTCGACTGAATCAAACCAACCGATCTTTGTAAGGCGACAAATTAGCACGATGAGGGCCTGCTGAACAAATGGTTCGAGATTTGGCCGAGTAGCCAGATAGTTGAGGGCGAAGTTCCCTACAATGAAATAGGGTTGAATCGTAACAGGTAACTTACGTAGTTGAAGGCGAAGATTCACGTGAACGACAGTGTCCTTGTTAGAAATGAACTTAGTCAGACTAGAAGCCGCAATAAATTGCGAGTAACAAGACTATAAAAAATAGGTAAATCGGAATGTCAAAAATACGTCTGCGCGCTCCAGAAGACTTTGACAAGTTGCCATACAGTCATGGCGCTCATAAATGCTAGTGCAAGTCTTTTCGGCTTGCAGCCGTGCAGAAGGATCGTTTGTTGTGTATAGCTCCTTGCATGCCCATTCAATAGAAGAAAGTGTCTAAAACGAACGAACACAACTGTGTATTTAAAAATGGCTCATATTTGTGTAAGTTGTGTTCAGTAGTAGCCTTGGTGAAAATTACTGTGTAAAACATTCAGCCAGAGAACGCTATGCGCCGGTGTTTCGTTTGTTCATTCATTAACATTTTAGTAGAGGTTGCATTCAATTACAAAAAGCAACGAGCAAACAATGACGGCTGGTTGTTTAAACCAACCCTAGACGTTTACTGTAACTTGTGATTGTGTAATTAGTGTGTGACAAATCATAGAATATTACATGAGGCTTAACGCTATGCTGTTAAGCACAACCGAATTTGACATCGGATCCGATTATTGGATAAGGATATGCACGAGATGCTTACCCGCAACTCATGACAAGAAAATGAAGTTTAATGTCCCAGAAAAATTACAATGGACTTTCAAATAGTCATATTTCTTGGTTAGTTGAACTAATCCCGTTAACATGTACAACCCAAGTCTTACGCATGCGTACTTAAAACGAAATATGTTGGCTAATTTACCATAACGAGTAGCCGCTTTCATTATTGACGGCAGTAGGCCATTCACTTTATTTATCTGCTAAGAAATGCTTGTAAGATTAATAAAAAAACTACCTACAAACCGCAAACAGAACAATAAAGTAGAACTCATGATTAAAAAGGATAAATCAGTTTTTCGATAAAAAAAGTTGTTTAACGCTCTATTGTATCTGTTCTACTACGTGTGGCGATAGATACGGTGGACATATCAAATTCCAGGTGATTCCAGGAAGCGAAGGTTGGGAGCTGTTTGACCGATTATAACACGAAGAAGATTTAGCACACAAAGATATCGGCCAAACCACGTGGTCAAATTACTCCCCATAAGCTCTTTTTAAAGTAATAATACACAGCGCTTTCCTAATTAAAGTTTGATGATCCAGAAAAATCGCTTTAAAGAGCGACAACTAAACTACGGAAACAAAGCTTGGAAGTGAATCAAAGCAACGGGTTATCAAGTTACAGCGCATCATGAAACCAGGGAAATGAACTGCAAGCTGCTGCTGCTTAACACGTGGAATCCCAATTTAATCAAGAACCGTAAAATGACGAACGCGTAAAATCGACACAAGAGACGTGATTACCAACAGTTTGATTGATCATTACTGAGAGCCTCGAACAAGTGGCTTGATAGATAGACAAAGTCAATGCATTGGAACGACATAAAATGCAAGAGCGCTGGAGACAGCAACCCTTATCCACGTCATCTCTGGACCGACTGAAAAATTACAGCAAGCTGTGTGACGTAATCTATATGCATAGGAAGGGAATAATTCCGATTTAAGTGTTTGAAATAGTGTTCGAATGAAGTATAACAGATCGTACCAGACAACAAAAAATAGGATCAATGTAATCTTACACCTTTAAAGAGTACTTGTATATTAAATACTAATAGATGTTGTAGACCATATCCAAGCATATTGAAAATAAGCTATCAGAAACGTACATCCATTACAAATCCGGGCACGAGTTTCCTTCGAAATTCGCGCAAACTTACGTAAACCAATCAGGTTGAAAACCACTTGACTTATGTGAGGAAAAAGAAAACAATTTGAAGTAACACGAAGACATTTAATTATAATAATAAATTAATACCAAAAATACATTTTTAGTTATTATCCCTTGATATGGTTCTTTGTTTTAACCACTTTTTAATTACAGTTCCCTTTTGAGTAGGAGCATGTTGAACTTCTCGAATCGTTTCTCCACTGTCGTCAGACATTTGGCCCGCAGGTCTTGCTCATTTCAGCGTTTTACTGTTCCCCGGATATGTCATGTTCGGTCTCAACTACCAGAAGCGCGTTTTTTCTCCTCCGATGGTAGTATTTTGTAAATTTTTACCTTCAATTTTAGTTGACAGGCAATTTTCGGCCGTTTTGACCGAAGAACTTAAACAAGAAAACGAGAATTCCTACAACAGCAGTCCCCCTAGTGGGTTTGAAGTAGAGAAATTGGATGAAACGAATCTTACCCTAAAGAAATGTTTCCCGGATGGCGTGTACGTTCTTTGTAGTGTCGATAGTCTTTAGTGTTGTTGAAGTTAAAATGGACCTCGCAGGTAGCATTGTTCCCGAGGACGTGAGTGAAAATGAGCTTCAGGGAAAGGAGCAGGACGCCCCTTCACCCCTTGAAGCTCGACCTGACCTCAAGATTCGACTCCGAAAGCCAAGTGGGCGCTCAGTCCTATTCCATTGTAGTCTTCCTTCGTCGCTTGAGGAACCCGCAAATTCTGACCAAGACACATCAAACCTGCGTATGACTTGATTTTGCTAATTTGCTTTTTTCTAGCTACTTTTTCTGTGGATATGGTTGAAATGGAGAAGATTCCTGGATATTTCGTCTATACTGACCTTTTTGACGACGTAAGTGTGTCCATGTAGTTTGCGAACTAGCCGTCATATAAGTAGTTCTGGCAAATCTATTGGTGGGATTGATGACCACCTATATTGACTTTTTAGAATATGTACGATCACATCATGCGTCTACTGACGGAAAGAGGTGTGGACTATGAATTCCAACGACAACTCCAGGATTTTGCAACGTCTGAGGAGCACAAACTCTACCGGTCTTTCCTGGAAGAATTCAAGGCTTACTGCAAGGAGTAGTCTAGCTAATATTGACTAGCATTTCCCTGGAATCGTATTGTTACACATTGAAATAATGCCATCCATCACGTTGCACCTGCTTTGTGTACATCGCATCGTGTTTGAAAATTTTAATGATGTGATTACAGACTTTTGCCACTTGTCTGGGGTTACGTATGCGTATGGTCAATTTTTTGGCGTTTGTCATAAATTTCCAGATTGTTGGGTTCTACATACCAATCGTTCTTCAAGAAATTTTAAGTAATTTTAGTGGAAGGAGTCGATTTGGCAGTGTTGTGGTGCGTTTAATGTGCCGCTCCATTATTTCCAGGGTTCAGTTCTGTCCGCAGAAGTTGAAGTTGGTGTTTTTCTGGTTTGCCGTTGTCCTGCAGTCACGTTCTGGTTCTTGTCGTTGTTTCGGATTTGTCTAGTGAATGGGTTTGCGACTCGCCTTTTTGCCGCCTGGCTGCTCACAAAGTGGTATTTCGGGTTTGGGGCCGTTCAAGTAATCCGATTTGGCCATGGGTGTCGTGAATTCCGACATAAAATTTCATTTGTCCAAAACCTTCTTAACCTCCCAAAATCATGCGTCCTGATCTCGTATGGAGTGGCAGCCGGAGTTTGCGTGTTTGCACTCATGTATAAGTAAATCGGCTCAGAAAGTGACTGTCATAGGTTTTCTCTTTCCTCCACACTATACAGAAAATTCTTCCACAACGACAATCTGAGTCGTCCGTGTTGATTATTACCATCATACTTCTTTATAATTCAGAACTGAATTCTACTAGCTCTCGTTTTTTCCGGTCTTAGTATCCCTTGGTTCTTATGGGCAATAAACTATGGGGATGATCTCGTCATTGGGAGTGTGGTCGACTCTCGTACTTCTAGATTATCCAAATACTGTATATTTTGAGTTAGATATACTCCAAGTGCAAAATGATGACGTAGATACTGCTTATTCACCGTTTTAAGTGATTATGTGGTAGCAGCAAGTTATATTTTTTACTGTGCATTCGGGCCTACAGACCCACAGATCAGTAAAATATCCTGTTGCTGCAATACCATGAGACGTGGCTCCTCAAGGTCTGCTTTTCTTTACTTACCTGGGCTGGAGATTGTTCAACGCTAAGAGGTTGAATTTTACATTTTTGGGAATCGCTACTGAGTCGTCGATGGCTTTCGAAAGCTTAACCGCCATTCCTATTGTTTTGGAATGGTGCAGCTTTCCTCAGGTTTGCCTGATTGGTGCATGGAATTTACGCATTGATTTGATTGGTTTTCACCTTTAATTTATGATTCGTATTTCATCAGTCTTCTTTCCTGGCAATGTTTTCAATAGATTCTATTTTAAATGATGAGCAAACGGACAAGAATTCATTGTCCCTGGGGAGGGCACCATCAGAAACAACTGTCCACGGTGAACAACTACTCTGGCCCATGAGATGTGGTTTCGGCCATTTGCTGTTCTCAACAGTGAGCGCTTCCACCAGCTTTCATCTTGCGTTATCCCCAAGTAGTTTTTCAAGTCACACAGGTTAGTCCAAGGTATCGGCCATTCTAATAAACTTTTACATGTCGAATCGGTTTCGTTTAAGTTCCTTCTTCATGTCAGGTATGATTTTGGGTCGAGCATTTAACTGACCGTGACAATTAAACCTACCTTCAGTAAATAATTAATTCGGTATTGATTGGATAGCGTTAGCTTAAAAATATTGTTGATTTAATGTGGTTTTTGATTTACGGGTTTCTGAAATGACCACAATACATGGATCTCTCCAAAAAAAGGTGTATAAAATATTAGCAATTTCCCAGTTTGCAAGTCTTAACTCGTCCCAAGTTTTTGCTCCCTTCTTATCCCCAAGTCAACGGTGGATCTCAGATACAGAGAATTGTATGCACTGCTCTACCAATTTCGTCCATTGTTTACGTGCTAAAAACATGAACTCCTTTATAGCTACAGAATGTTCCTAATTCCGGTTTTTAAGTAAGTCAAGCTTTTGTCGATCCCTCTACTTTATAAGCAGACCGATAGCTATTGACGGCAGGATGTAAGTAGACTCAGACAATAAGGTACAGCGATGTAAAATCTCGGCATTAAGAATTCAACATGGACGAGTTCGGACGGTGTGGCCAGTTGATCTGGAGATATTTGATCATATTAACGGCAGTTGAAATATTTGAATTTGTAAAGAACACGCTCATAAACGATCTAACAAGCTAGTATTCCTGTTACACGGACTAGTTTCTTGTAAAGGATCGATGATAACAGCACCTAAATGTCTGCCTCTGTAAACGAATTTACAATGACTTCCCCGGCGATGTTGCTTCAAACAAAGCGTACGAAATATTTTGGTTGTCTGTCAGATAATTTTCAACATGACGCTAAAATTGACGCGAAACCTGGTCTAATTTTGATTAAGTTCAGCGGCTGGTGCTCGAGATGTTCCATAAAGCTCGTAGAATTTCGCCACGGGAATGTGTCTTGTATAACTCTTATTCGCTTCTAGCACGTTTTCCTGTAAGTTTAATCTTGTTGGTGACGTTTCAACCCTAAAATAATGTCTACATTTTCTGATGCTAGACGTCACTTTAATAATAATGACTCATTCTATCGGGCCAAAGATTTAGATCTTATATTTTTGATGGGTAGGTGAGTAATGTGCATTCTGTTTAACTGTCTGGAATTAGCTTCCAATAAAAAGCTTGATGGTAGTATTTTCCACTATAACAATACAAGAACGTTTTTAAATTCGGTATCAGGGCAATTACTATTGCAGTTTTGCAGGAACATCATGCTTTATCCCACTTGCATTGAAACCGTCATGTCACCATTAACTCTTACACAAAACCATCGCTATTTGTGGCTCCCAAATGTTCCTTGACAAATTCACCACTTATCAAATAGACTTTTCTGAAATTCTAGCCGAATGGCTTGCAAAGTCAGAACTAAATTCTACTAAATTCTCTCCCTCTGACCAAGTCATTATTTATTTGGATACTTTAAGGAGTGAAAACTTCAGCGACTTCAGTAGGATTTCTGTTCAGGACCATATTTAGCAGATATCTACTGCTCTCAGATCATGCTAAGTGCTTTTTGTGATTTGTTCACATGAACCTATCAACGAGCATGAAATTTCCCTTTTATAAATTCTTGTAGGGTATTACAATAATCCTCTGACATGACACTAAAGTTTAATCAGCAATCTATTCACATTAGCTAAATTTTCTTTTAATTTTTGAGTAAAATTTAAGCACCAGTACACCCTGGTAAGGGTTCAAGATGGATTCGGTCATATTTGACATCGAAGAACCAAACGTTGCATATTTTTACACCTGCTTCGATGGTGGATTACGCATGGACGCGATGTCCCAGACATGATGATCAAGTCTTCTTAGCAGTTGGTTGTTGTTTTGGAAGATGTCTGATACGAGGGGATCGTTGTTATGAAAAATATCTTTTTACACGTAGACAGGTCAATCCATCTTGCTAGGATCATACTTGCTTTTCGAAAGTGTTAGCTTATATCTTGCCACTAAAGTCCACATGGCTTAAAACATGCACTAAGTACATCATCTTCCCACCGTGGCAGTCGGCTTCCTATTAATAGTTCGAATTACAATTAAATAGGGGAAGCAATCCATTTTTCGATTGCTATCGCTCTTCGCAGGACCCTTCGTAGACATTCAAATATTGGTGTCTCCTGTCTGAAAATGCTTGAATGAATAAGCGAAAGTCGCCCATATTAGCATAATTTGAAGTGATACGCAGGCAGGGGTGGTGAGTAGGTGACTGGCACGCTTGAGTTAACAGGCCTGATTAGCAACGGTTGGAAGAATGCATAATTATCCAAAATGAATTGGAGAAGGGAGATTTAATAAACCCTATTCATATAAGTCCTGAATGTATAAACTTGTGTGTTTGTACGTATGCGATAAGAAAATGTTCAGTCAAATCTGCCATTTACATGGACTTCACCAAGCCAATGACCTTTTGTCGACTCTTGCTTCAATCACGCATGAATGATGCATGATGCATGTTTCGCTTGAAAATGATCAGGTACATTTCTTCCCACGATAGGAACAAAATCTATAGTCCTGAGAATGTATAATCAAGGGAGTTTTTGGGCACCCTCTGATGATATCTAAAATTCATCTGAATGTATTTCGGGTGAATACATTTGATAGGTATGTCTGTGCACCCAATCGGGTAACCAAAATGGACTTTTAAGGGCAGGGCTTGCATTCTTCACTGTCAAACCTTCAGCCATTTGAACCTCAAATCGTCCAGATCACATGTGTCGTTTCATTTAAAATTTATTAAAAGTAAATTGCCTCCAATACTGAGTGAAACTCACTAGTAACTTTTACTTTTTTACCCAAATAGATAGTCAATTTATGCAAGTAAAGAGAACAGTGAAGGGCGTCACAAATGTAATTATTTTTGGTGATCACTTCGAACCAGCCTTTAGCTGTCGAGCTAGACAGTGATGGTTGGATAACACGTTTTTCCTCAAGCATAATTCGATCAATTAATTGACAAAAATTCGGATTCTGTGTATGGTTTGGAAAGAGAACAATTCTACTTTCAAATGTGGAATTGACTCGGTTCTTGCTATACTCGGCTTGGTAATTTCTCAAATGTGTTATGCACTTTTTAATTTTTGTTTAGACACGAAGTTTGTCCCACCACTTCATTGTCCGAAATTTGAATCAAAACACAGGAAGCCAAGAACTGCCTTCACAAGTAAACAGCTGGTCACTTTAGAAGGACACTTCAAACAAAACAAATATATTTCCCGTGCCAATCGCGTCAGAGTTGCTAATGAACTGCGATTATCGGAAACTCAGGTCTGGTCTTCTTTTGCTTTGTCTTGTATCTGCTGTATTGCTGTCTTGGATGCGTAATTATTTTAAGCTGACAAAACATTGGCTTTGGAGTTGCTCTGACGTGGTATGCAAATAATGAATTAATGTGCAGTTAAAGTAATGACGACAGTAATTATTCGATTTATGATATTTAT